CCGTCCGCCTCGGGCTTCTTCAGACGGGGCCAGGACGAGGATAGATCCGTTCCAGAGAGTTCCAGAACGCTCTCAGAGCGCTCCAGAACGCTCTGAGAGGGCCGCGGCACCCGAGAGATCCTCCAGATCCGCCGGGTCTCGGAGATTGTCGAAGTCTATCCTATCCTCACCCGGATTTGCCGTCGTCCTGGCCTCGTCTTGGTGCTGTGTGCGGCGCCATCTTCAGCTCTGCGCCGGCAGGAGGCTTGGCATCGCTCGGACGTGTGCATTCTTCCTTCGGCGAGGGCCATCGAGGAGCATCCTTGATCATCTGGCGAAAAAGCCACGCACGAAACCGAACAAAAACACAGGGAATGGACGTCCGAGCGATGGCGAGGAGGGGCGGCGGCCCGCTCCGCCCCGCGGGCCGCGGGGGGCCTCCGGAGCACGGCGGTGGCCTCCGGGGTGGTGTCGCCCCCGTCGGCGGGCCCTCTCTGCGCCCTGCTTTTTTTGTCTGCTGCCCCCCCCCCCCCGTCGTCTCCGCACTCCGCGGCACTGCCGACGATGCCATCCTTCGGGGGTGGGCAGAACCCCCAACAGTGACACGTCGATCAGTGAATTGTCCGTTTTCGGTTCTCGAGGTGGCGCCGTGGCGAGTCGTCTTCCAGGCCTGCGCCCGCCAGGCTTGGGCCTCGGGTCGTTTTCACCAGACCACGTTTTGCTGAAGGGGGGTCTGTCCACCCCCGAATCATCGCGACCGCACAGCCTGTCGCAGGCACGCGCGCCATGCCCCCGCGCATGCATGCGCCCGCCTCGATGCTCGGGGCGGGCCCCCGACAGCGGGCGCGGGCATCGCCATCGGCCGATATGTGCGCCTCTGCCGGCGCCTGGCTGCACGCCTCGTCTTCGCAGTCAGAAATGGTAATAAATACGCCTGCGTCAGGTGCCCCCAAGAAGTGGCCTCATCGGAGGGGGCCAGGAGAACGCAAGACGGCATTACTTTCGGCAGCCAAGCTTTCGCGAGATCTTTGCAGGGGGGCTCGCGTTGAATTGCAGAGCAGGTCCCGCCATTTTCCCGACGTCCCCGTGAGACCAAACCTAGTCCCCCAAGCTAGAGTCTTACGTCTCCCCGTGGGTAGGAGGGTCTGGACTCGGAACTCCAATGCTGTTTTTCGATTCACGACGTGGCCCTTTCGTGACTACAGCAGGCACGCTCGAGACGCCTCGCTCTGAGAACTCTAGTGGGCACATCCTTCGTCGAAGGTGAGCCTTGTAAGGCGCCCCAGAGCTCTACAGGCTCAAAGAGGATGAGAAACTACAGTGGAGGCCCACCCTGCTTGCCTCCAGGGTGCCCTGGGTTTCTTGGGTTTCGATGGTTCTGCAGCGTGACGTTCCCACGCCAAAAATCACTGGACGTCGTTGGGTCTCAGGGTTGGGTTTCTTGTGGAAGGTTTCTTGTGGTCGGGCCCCTACTGTATTCGTCCAAACGCCAAGCCCATTCCGAATATACTGGGGCGGGCGGCACTTCCAGACACCCGGCGTGTGAAAAGCCCAGGCGTGAGAAGGCGCGACCAGAACTCCCAAACCCAATCTTCGCTCGTGCCAGATCGATCTGTGTGGGCCCCAGGGCACGACACCGGCCCCGTTGTCAGAAATCCCCAGGTTGCGGTCGACTCGTGCCGCGTTGACGCGGCGGCGACCCCAGCGCGGGTGTTCAAGGCTGAACGCCGCCAGTGGCCCAGAGGCGTCCAGAGTGGGTCGGCACCGCACGACCTTGCGCTCCCGGAGGGCCGCGACCGCTGGCGGCGGAGCGGCCCACGCTGGGTCAGAGGCCAGCCTCCAAGACGTCACGACGGGAGCCTGCCGAGGAGGAGGAGGAGGAGGAGGAGGAGGAGGAGGAGGAGGAGGAGGAGGAGGAGGAGGAGGAGGAGGAGGAGGAGGAGGAGGAGCTCTCCCGCCCCGGCCCATGGCCCGAGCCACCGCGCCCCAGGCCTCGCGCGGCGCGGCCCGGGGGTCAGTCAGAGTGCGGGGTCTTGCAGGATCCTGCAGGGCCAGGGGCGCACTGGCCCGGGCTTGCGTGCCGGATCCTGCAGGATCCGGCAGGAGCTTGCAGGATCCTGCAGGGCCTGACGGACCCGGGTTTGCATTGACCCGGGTCGGTGCGTCCCCGACCCAGGATGGACTCTCAGGCTCCCAGATGGGGTCCGAGCAGATGGCGTCGGAGGATCGCGCCGCATCGCCGATGAGCCCGTGTTTCCCAACGATTTCATGTTTTTTTCAATTCGCCGATGTTCCACCACCACCATCATAGGAGAGGCAGGAGGAGGAGGAGGATGAGGAGGAGGAGGAGGAGGAGGAGGAGGAGGAGGAGGAGGAGGAGGAGGAGGAGGAGGACCTTCCCATCCTCCCTTCTCCCCCGTCCTACTTATGGTAGTGGTAGTGTTAAATTTGCACTTCATGGATCTCTTCGCACCAGGATCGTGCGCGTTCGTCCGCGCGTTGGTCCCCGGGCCCGCGCCTCCACCCCCTAGCAGCACGAGGCTGGCCTGCCAGGTCCACGCCTCGAGGCCCCTGGGGGGGTCTTAAGAGCTCCACGGCGGTGCCCAAGGAGGCGTCTGGCGGTCCCTCTGCAGTTCCATGGGAGTGGGAGCCCGCTGGGGGTCTGAGGTGGGCTGACACTCGGTCCGGCCAGCAGGAGGGGTCAGCCGCGCGCAGAGGGGGAAAGGGTGAGGGGAGAATGCTTCTTGGAGGCACCCCTGCTTCTAAGAAGGCTACCACCCTCCCCCCTATACCCCCTTGTGTGCGCCGTCTAAGAGGGTGGGGGCAGGTTCGAGGCGTTGGGTTCGAGCAGGTTTTCTCCTGCTTCAGGTTCGGCTTTTGGGCCCAGGGACAATCAAAAGCTGACCTGGGGTGAACAATTGCACCAGGTGGACCCCAGGAGGGGTCTGGGGACCCACTTTGAGCGGACTTGCATTCACCCTCCTCTCCTGATCGAATCCATTGGGGCCTTCCAGCTCAGACCCCTTGGCCGCCTCCAACACGGGAGCCTCCAGGATCGGGAGTCCCCAGACGGTGCGGAGACCGCTCCGTCCGGTGAGTCAGAGGTGGCCCGAGTCCTGCGGGCCGCTTTGGGATTTGGGTTCGTTCTCCGAGAACGTCGTCGAATTCGCGACATGGTGGCTGTGGCGTTGGTGGTGTAGCCAGTGCTCGAACAAGACCAATCGGCATAAACATAAGCTTTCGGAGCTCCGCGCGGATTTCTTGGATCGGCGCTGGGCCCCCCTGGCGGCGCATCTGGCGCTGCCCCTTGCGCGCTCCGCGCGCCATGGGGGCGTGTCCAGCGCCGATCCAATAAATCCGCGCGGACCTCTGAATGTTCATGTTTATGATATGTTTTGTTTCCGTAAGTGCGCAGAACAGTCGGATCATCAATACACGAATCCTTGGTTCCTCAGCGCCATGTGGTAGCCCCAAATTATGGTAATTGGGGATGGGGTCCCGCATGGACGGCCTGCATAACCGGCCAACCACCATGTAATCTACGACATAGTGGTTTAGCATGTCTGGGTAGTTTTTCACTGCGCTGGCAGAGCAGTAACCACCATCGCACGAACCACCCAGTCGTTGATTACGAATGGCTCGGGCGCTGGGGCTGCCTAGTGTCCCCCGTCAAGTGCGGTGACCATGCGCGCGGCGAGTTCTTCGGGGATCTCGAGCGGCCCGTGCGGCCAGTCGTCGCACTGTGCTGGGACACCCGAGCAGGAAATCGTTGGAAAGCCGCGAAGGGCCAGGAGCGTCTACAAGCCTCGATCCTCGATCTTCGAGGGCGCGCAGCGCGAGCTCGGAGAAGACCTCGGGCCGCCCCGCAGTAACGCGCGAGCGGTGCAGTGGGACGTCCAGAGGTTCTTCTGAGCCTCGATCCTCGAGGCCTCGAGGCCACGCGAGCTTCGTCTCCGGCCCAGTTCCGAGCTCGTGGTCGCCGCGGCCGCGCCGTGCCCTGCGTCACGCTGTAGCTTCGGGGGGGCCTCGCCTGTCCTGTAGGCAGCGGTCCTTTTCTAGTGTGCGACGTATGTGCGACGTGGAGTCGACACGGATTCGACGCGGACAGCGGCGCGCTCGGACAGACAACGTCCCACGAAGGTGCAAGCTAACTGGCGTTCAAGGCTGCCGCCGTCGCCTCCCAGAGGCGTTCCATCGGCTTGGACGTCGGCGCAAACACGCCTCGACGCGCGCGCGCTCGAGGCCGCCAGCCTCGGCATTGTTAAGAACAGTATTCGTTGTTGTTGCTTCATTGATCGTGCTATGTATTTGGATACGCTAGCCGCATTATTTGTATCATGAGTATTATTTTCATTCGAACTACTACCTATATTAGTACTCGTACTCGTACTCGTAGTAGTAGTAGTAGTAGTAGTAGTAGTAGTAGTAGTAGTAGTAGTAGTAGTCGTAGTCGTAGTCGTAGTAGTAGTAGTAGTAGTAGTAGTAGTAGTAGTAGTAGTAGTAGTAGTAGTAGTAGTAGTAGTAGTAGTAGTAGTAGTAGTAGTAGTAGTAGTAGTAGTAGTAGTAGTAGTAGTAGTAGTAGTAGTAGTAGTAGTAGTAGTAGTAGTAGTAGTAGTAGTAGTAGTAGTAGTAGTAGTAGTAGTAGTAGTAGTAGTAGTAGTAGTAGTAGTAGTAGTAGTAGTATAGTAGTTGTAGTAGTAGTAGTAGTAGTAGTAGTAGTAGTAGTAGTAGTAGTAGTAGTAGTAGTAGTAGTAGTAGTAGTAGTAGTAGTAGTAGTAGTAGTAGTAGTAGTAGTAGTAGTAGTAGTCGTAGTCGTAGTAGTAGTAGTAGTAGTAGTAGTAGTAGTAGTAGTAGTAGTAGTAGTAGTAGTAGTAGTAGTAGTAGTAGTAGTAGTAGTAGTAGTAGTAGTAGTAGTAGTAGTAGTAGTAGTAGTAGTAGTAGTAGTAGTAGTAGTAGTAGTAGTAGTAGTAGTAGTAGTAGTAGTAGTAGTAGTAGTAGTAGTAGTAGTAGTAGTAGTAGTA